AGGTACACGATTGCCTGTGACACTTATACGATTAGCATTGCGAAACTGATTAACCTAAGAAAATAAAAGAACATAGTATCATTTTTGTTGCATTGTAAGGTAAATAAGATCTTTTAAAACCTTTTCTTGTTCCAATTTGATCTGTTTCTCCTCTGTCAAAGATTTGCATCTCTTATTCTTGTTTTCAGATGCAGGCATTCCATCAAGGAAGACAAATTTATAACCCGTTTCTTCTTCGACCTCGTCATGTTTTCGTTTCTTTCTTGAAACTGAATCATCAACATCAGGAGCTTTCTCATTGTCGAGTTCAGATTCTGAATGTCTTTTAACGAGCTACGAGCAAATATCCATCACGTTGAGTTTATACATTTAAAATTAGTCAAAAATTACCTGAAATCTTTCTGCATCAGCTTGAAAACGTTTTTTATCGAATTTTACACCGGCGGAAAGTTTGCGGAAAAGCTCATATGCGTCCATCGTTCTCTTCTTTTGTATAGAGTTCTGATAATACCTAACTAACCTAAATAAATCAGATTTAAATCATCTCACTACACTGCCATTACACCACGTGCACATTCATGGACCCTTTGACTACCCAGTCAGCCAAATCTGCAAACGGCAGGATTTCGGTAGGCCTACTGCATGATCTACCGGTAGACTGGTTGCAGAATGCGCCAATCCCTGACATCAGCATCTGACGGCAATCTGGCAGTAGAATGACTGCAGACTGCTCGCCATCTGCCTCCAGATGCTGGTGCCAAGCCCGTCGCCAGTATGGTAACAGAGTAACGCCAGGTCTGATATCAAACCTGTTTCCAGAATGATTGTAGATTGTCGTCAGACCTGCCGTCACATCTGGCTTCAGACTGGCGGCAGATTTACGTCAGGTCCTGCTGTCGCAAACAGGGTGTCCCAAAATGCACACTGTCGGAGGACAGTCGTGCATTCTGGGACACCCTGTATAGTGAATNATTGTTTAATATTTATAAAAAATACTAATTACGTTTTTCCGATAATAATTTCATGATTACATACATACATACAGAATTTTCATTAATAAATTTAATTATAATATTTCAAAATTGTGGGAATAAACTGCAGATTTTTTGACGATCAACCGAGGTTCGGGGTACATTTTCTCTAAATCAGCACTGAAGATAATTTAAATTTATTTTCGATCTTGGTGACGATATATATTTTCTCTGTATATGTGAAACTAATTCCTTTTATGAAATCAGACTTGTCAAAATTACAACTCTGATAGCTGCAACTTGTAGAAAAGTATAGCAACCATATTCAGTCTGCGTATAAACGCCTAACTATACTTATCTGTATGTGTGTCTCGAATAATCCACAAACAACAGCGCAAAATTCTAATTTAATAAGATTTTAAACGCAGGCGCGTGCTGATTCCCACTACTAATGATTTAGAGTTCGCCCTGGATGAGGAGTCCATACGACAGCATTCGCTCTCTCGTCTTCATATCCGTCGTATGTATTGGAATATTTTGTTTAATGAATTAACATTCAAATTCCTCGTGCGTACTTGAGGAAGATCACGTTTAAGCCGTAATTTAAGCTAAGGACTCACAAACATAAGCACACAAATAGCTTGTTCTTTAACATCATTCATGACTATTAACTTTCGTTTGATTTGTTATCGTACTAAATTAAAAGAATGAGACGAGAGGGTAAAGAATGTGAAGATATGTATTAAATATTATAATAGCATCGAACTATTAATTTGCAAGAGCGAAGATTACTACGTGCGGTATTTCTTCTACTTGTATGTGTGATGCTAATTATGAGAATTCCATCCGGCAACGTCCACTAATGTAAGTCAATATTTCTGCGCAATTATTATAATGCCAATTGAAAGAATGTATCTGCATATCTAAAATAGTGATATGATAGTCATATTGTACATACTATTTGTATCTTAAATATGAAGAAATTGTCCCAAGGAAAAGCAAACGGCCGTACAAAGAATATTCGTCCAGATTATTATTGAGCACTCGAGGCATTCGAGAATTCGGCTATATCGAACATATAATATTGGTTAACAGGGTAAAAATAATGAAATAAGCATATGGAACTTTTGTAATATACTATTTATTTTAACTGTTGAGACTAAGAAGCGAGATGATTGATATATGAATTTATCTTTTCTATTAACGGTATCTATTTACGTACAATTAAGACGGATACTTTCATTAAGGTTGTATGAACATAACAACAATGACAAAGCACTGAAATTTTAACGGTTACCAAATATTACATTAATAAAACACTGTACAAAGTTTTAGAAATTTTGCGAGCCTATTAAAAAAAGTTATTACATCTTGAATTCTTATGTCGAATGACAGATTTTTTATTTCATCTA